GTGTTCCCCTTTCTCCACATCCTCTCCAGCATAGACTGTCATTAATGTTTTTGATTTTAGCCATTCTGACAGATGTGAGATGGTATCTCTTAAAGTATTAAATTCTAGTCAACTTTTGAAACATTAAGAAAAAGATATTGGTCATCATTTTAATCATTTTTTTCAAATGCAAAGAAAATAAAATTTATTTTCTATAGTATATAAAGATTCTGTGGGAAATGATTTGTACAATTCCTAAAGAAAGCAACATAAACCTAGGCTGGCTATTGAATATCAACTGCTATTTATGAGATTAGACTGTATGTCAGAATGGAGAAAATTATTTTTTAAAAAATTGTTCTGAAATGATAAAAAAGAAAAAGAAAATCTGAGCTGGGAGGTGGTTGTGCAAACCTTTAATCCCAGCACTTAGGAGACAGAGACAGGCAGATCTCTGAGTTTGAGACCAGCCTGGTATACTGAGCAAGTTCCAGGACAGCCTCCAAAGCTACAGAGTAACCCTGTCTCGAAAAACCAAAAAAGAAAGAGAGAGAGGGGAAGGGAAGGAGGGAGGGAGGGAGGAAGGAAGGAAGGAAAGGAAGGAGGAAGGAAGGAAAGAAGGAAAGAAGGAAAAGAAAATCAAGATACAAAAACCTATTTTAATTTGTTTTAAATCCCATGAAAATAAAATGTTTGGTTATTTCATTTAAACTTTTTAGACTTCAAAAGTTAACATTTTATGTATCTCTCAAAAAATACAAACAATAGTGAGCATATCACAAACATTGAGCATGCCTCTGCCATTCTGTCACAGGTCACTCACTACCTACAGAGTCAGCAATTTTAACAACCAACAAGTAAAAATCATCCAAGTCCCTTTTCGGGAAAGCTGGTGTGAGAAGACTAAGGATGGAGAGGTAGCTCATCTCTTCCTCTGAACTGTCTGTGTGTCTGGTTAGTAACTTGGCCAGCACATTCAGCAGGTTTACCAGTTTAAAACAGACCCTTAGTCACAGATCCTCTGACCAGCTCAGGACCCACCCATGTTCTGATCCTTTCTGCTGACAATCTTCTGTCCCAGCTGCTTTGGGGTCATTTAACTGTGTCCTGTGCATACAATCATCACCCGGCTATTGGTGAGAGTTACAGGCTAATACCTAAGCACTTGTTGGATGGATCCTGGAGGTGCAGAAGATTACAACAGTGATGCTTGTGGCAACTTGGATGGTACATAGATGGGCCCCTCAGAAGAGGCAGTGACAAGCTGCTCCATCTGTCTTCCTGTGGCGCTAGTGCTAGTGCATGGATGTCAAACTGGTTCTCAGGACTGATGCTGGTACAAAGTACTTCTACATTTCAATGATTAAAACATGAGTTAATACAAAGAAAAATGCAAATAGACTTCACACTTGTAGTGTGCAGATGTGGTTAAAAACTTGGGAGGTCATGCTCAATAATGAAGTTTGGGAGATGGTACCCTGCCTCCTTTCTTCTCCATGTCCTATCTTCCTGTCGTTTACGAATGTCTCTGAAGTGTGTATATGGCTATTACTTTCTGGAAAAGAAAATGAGAGCTTTAAAGAGAAGAGAAGGAGGAGGAAGAGAAGCAGCAGCATGCCTGTATTCACTTTCTTTTCATAATCAAAACTGTAGAAGAACACCCGAAAAGCAATGGAGCTGTTATCAGTGTGGCATAGGAAGAACTGGAGCAAAGGGAAGAAGTAACGCTTCAGGGTTCTTCAACCTTTCTGTGGTTTCAACTCTTATAAGCATGATAAAGTCCTACATACTTTAAAAAATAACAATAGGGGAGGGGAGAACCTAATTTAAAAAAAAATTAAAAAACAAAACTGAACCAGCTGCATTGAACTGAACAGAATAGAGACTTATCCATGTTATTTATGAGCATGGTGTTTGATGTTAGAAGGAAAAACTGCAAACAAATCCTGAGCTCCATCTTCCATCGCCTTGTTTGGTTTGTTGGTTGTTGTTTTAGTGGTATATACAAACAATTTTGAGTCCAATTCAGAAGTACTTAAGGTTAACCAAATGAAATGAAGATGTTGAAATCCAGGGTTCTCACCAGGGAAACAAAAAGAGAACCTGTGAGAGGTTTGAAACTAGAAGTATTTGTGGGTGCTCAGAGTTTTTAAGAGATGCCTGTGTATTTAGTACTAGCATATTAGTAGGCCGTGTATTGAAGAGCTTAGGTCTCCATAATTTCCTCCCCAATAGCAGGGAACAGAGATATTCCAGTAGCAAAGAACACATCTGGCATCCAAATCCCCCTTTTCATAGCCCCTCCCCCAAATAATGGCTGATTGTAACACTGAACTGGTTTAATGCAACTTCTTGTTATATCAGGAAGCTCTGTCAGAAGTGCTCCAGAAATTATGGGTCATAACACAGGAACATATGCCCAACTTGAAGGGACTCTTGCTTGTCAACACTGGGACAGTCCAAGTCCTAAGTATAAACCATTAAAAGTGTGGATCCCATTGGCATATACCAGATTCAGAGACCAAGGGCCAAACATTGCACCATGCTGAGAAGAGGGAGGAAGGATTGTAGGAAAACCCACAGAAACTACTAGCCTGGCTCATGGTAACTCACAAGAGTCTGAACCAACAACCAAGGAGCTGCATGGGACTGACCTAGTTGTGTACTTTGGTCTATATGTGAGACTACCAGCAATAGGAGCAGGGGCTGTCCCTGGGGCTTTGGCTGGCTCTTGGAAACCTGTTCCTCATGCTGGATTATTTTGCCCAGCCTGAAAACAGGTGCAGGTGCTTAGTCTTGTGCTTTGCTGAAGCCCATGGGAGACCTGCCCTTTCTGATCGATTATGGAGGAGGGATGGACTAGGGGTGTGGGAGGGGAGCAGAAAGGGAGTGGGAGGAGAAGAGGGAGGGAAGCTGTGGTTGGGATGTAAAATTGAAAAATTAATTAATAATAAAAGAAGTGGGGACCCCAGAGTCTGTACCAGTAGGAAACCCACACAGGAGAGAAAGAGGAGCACTCCCTAATAGCAGAATGAATGCTGAGTCAGTGATCAATGCTGAGGGAAGAAAGGTGGTGGGATAGCCTAAGTTTGTTAACAATATTGACAGCTGGATCAGGAAAGAGTCTTCCCTAGATGTTTTATATAAGGAAAAATATTTGATCAAGAGCAATGTATCTGTGTGAGTTTAAATATTACCCAAGGTACCCTGACCCAGAAGGGTTATGTGGCTGGACCAGCACCAGCCTCACTATGTCTGCCATTTTCAATTTTCAGAGTCTGTTGACTGTAATCTTATATGTTGACTATTGCTGCTTATGTGTACTGTGCTTATATCTGGTCCTTGGCACCCAGCCTTCTGGACAGAAATAAAACTGGACTATTGGGAATATTTTGGAAGTGTGCCTGGATTGGTGAACACAAGAGTCCTTATGTCACCATATTCTGTATAGTGGTTGCCTTCAGCTTGTGATTGCCCTCAGACTCTATAAACAAGGACTTACCTCTAAAAAATAATGGGAAGAATGGTTAACCCTTTTATCACTGAACATGGAATGAGATAAATTTCAAGATGCTATTCTCTATTTTTATGCTGTTGACAAGTGAGCCGTATAAATAATTAAGATGTAACAGTTTAATACACAGGAATGTGATTGTAGCAATCAACCTCAGTTCTGTCACTCCATTATTACATTCTGCAAATGTCGTATTGGGACTGCTTTTTGTAAGGTTCTTGAGGGCATGAAGTAGAACACACAGTTGGTCAATTCCACAGGTTCCTTTCACTAAGACTTGAAAATGGTGTCTTCACAGAATGAGACATTGTAGCAACTGGCCTATTTTTTTTTTTTTGAGAAAAAAAAAGTTCTATTTTTTTGTTACTATTCTTATGGATTGTGTTCATATTTAAACCATTTTGATAAATGGTTAAATATTACCCAGAGACTGGAGAGGTGATTCAGAGGTTAAGAAAACTGGCTACTCTTGCAAAGGGCCCAGGTTTGGTTCCCAGTACACATGTATTGGCTCACAATTATCTGTAACTCTAGTGCCAGGAGATCCAATGTCCTTTCCTGGCCTCTAAGGGCACCATGCATGCACATAGTTCACATACATTCATGCAGGTAAAACTCATACACATAAAATAGAAATAAATTATTAATATTCTCCCCAGTATCTTACTAGTTACAAAGTACAACCTGGTAATTAAATAGTTGAAGAATCAGAAATCTTGACCAAGTAGTTAAAACTAATATTACCAGTGAGGAGGGGAAGAAAACTTGTGCCTCCAGTTATGACCCAGAGGAGGGCATGGTGTCACTTGTGTAGAATTCTAGTTGGAAATACATACTTACATCTGAGAAGGTATCAGACAAAACAAAGATGAGGGAAAAGTGGAGGCAGGGGGACTACAGTCTTCAAAATATCAGTATCATATAAGAAAAGGGCGATGTAAATAGTCCAGATGAAAGTCAACTAAAAAGATACTAACTAAATGTAGCACCTGATCTCAAACTGTAAAGGACAATGGGTTAACAGCAGTAAGACTGTCAAGGACATTGACCATTCTACAGAATCAGAGTATGGGGAGCACCAGCACTAATTGAGGTTGAAGTTGCATTGTGGAGTGCACCCACTTAATTTGTTCATTGTTGAATTCTGTGCTCCTCAGGTGGAGCTTGGTGTATAGAAAGCTCATGATAGCCATGTCTCAAATGAATGAGTGATTACTATGGGTCCTGCATTTGACATCAGTCCAGAATAGTTTCTCCATAGGCTAGCTTCTGAGGCTCACTGCTAGTATGGGGTCTCGGGAATGGACTTGTGCTTGTGGTGGAAATTACTCTATCATCTGGCATTTACTTGGTTATTTTCCTAGTTGTAGTGTAGTCTACAGCTGTATTTGCTTTTATTACATGTTTAGTTCTGTATTTCAAGAGCTACTTGGTAGTAAAGAATATTGGAATTTCTGGTTTCCTTTATTTGGTTAACCCTTGGTTTGGATATTGGGGTATTTTTCAGCTATTGGACCTCTTCATTCAATGGGATTGGTCCACATACCTTGCTGACTATGGACAACCCAACTGCAAGTACCTCCGGGTGAACCCTGTGACTGCTCTGACCCTGCTTGAGAAGTGAGTACCCAGCCCTGTGCTTTGTATGGGGAGGTGGGAAGGAGGTAAGGGGTGGCATACAAGGCCAGTTTCCTGTTTTCAGCACCTTGAAAACATCCTTGTTCTTAAAGCTACCACAGGTGCTGTCAGCCATCTTGATCGTTGCACTTGGTAATCCAGTTGTAATTCTTAGCTCCAACAAGCTATAAGTACAAATCAGAATGGGATTCTTTATTGCTTTGCAGCCTAATTTTTTTTTAAAGTGTCTTTACCTAAAGACGACAAGAAAAGATAGTAAGATGGTTTAGTTTTGGCTCAGGCCAGTCTGGTAAGCAGAGAAGCATGTCCTAGTGCTTGGGGTTTAATGATATGTAGAGCAGAGCTCCTCAGAAATGTGGTTCCACTGAACTGGCTTATCCAGCACCAAACATCTCAAAGCTAGCCAACGTGTCACACAGGTGCCAGTGGTATGCACTGCAACCTGGCTCTGGGTTTTGCTAACCTGTCGAGAATTGGCAGACCCATGTCAAAGAGCTTTTTAAGACTGACTAGTCACAAGAGTACCTGTATCAAGGCAGTGTAAAAAGTCCATGTGTATGAGCATCCAGTCATGCTCCAACCCTAGAAAGGCAAGGGCTAAAGTCCAGAAGGTCAGAGTAGAGCTTTAGACAAACAGAAATCAAGGTGTATCTTTCTTACTTGTGTGTGGGAGGGGGTAGTATTGGAGAATGTGCCAAATGGAAGGGGGAAGCAAAGAATAGACAAGAGTAGGATGCTGGGCTCTGTGTTTGAAGCCAAGAGACAGGCTGAGAATTGATGGTTTCATGTTAACTTTCTCCCATGGTTCTCTCTCCCAATGACTTTCTTCTCTAGGATATCTAGAGAGTAAGTATATTGTTCACTTGTGACTTTTAATGACTTTGAGGCAAGTCCTTCCAATTTCCCCAATGATGCCAATAACTAAACTTAAATCCTGGTCCTGTTAGTGGTCTCCAGCCTGACAAACTAAACCAGCCTGGTACTACCCAGCTAGGCACTTTCTCTTTCTTTGTTCCTTACAGACCTTTGGTTTACCAGTTCATTTGGGTGTGGGATTGATGGCAGAGACTTTTCCTATCAGCACTAGGGAAAGGATTTCTTCTATTCGGCTTCCTGGAATGCTTGGTACTCTTATTGGCTCAGAGCATGCAGTTCAGTCCTGACAGAAGAACTACTAAGCAAATCCCAGTTGCTGGGGACAAGGCCTGTGGCTTTAGGGTCTAGAATTCGTATCTCTCATGTGGATTCCTCATTAGACACAAGCCAGGGCCAGAGTTCTCATTACCCAGTGGAAATAGGAAGATAGTCCGATATTTAAGCCAGTACTCATTCACTTCTCTAGAGATCCATTACTCTTCCTTAGGTATGACAATTGGTGATGTCTCACCATTCTGGCCTAGCATACAACAAAGCTGTGTGCTAAACCCTGGCCATCAGTGAACTTGACATCTTTATCCCCAGTTTTGGAAGTCAAGGGCTCCCCAGGTCACTGAAATATCCACAGCTTCCAGCCTCAGAGGAATTCCTTTTCTCCTGACCTGTTCTTGCTTCCCCAGAGGCAACTTCCACCCAAGTCTGCCGGTCTTTTTTTCCAAACCTGACTCTTCATAGTGAGGCAAGACAGAAGGACCCAGATCACTGCCAGTACCATCTAGACAAAAGCAAAGTCCCTGTGTCACTAAAAGGTGGCCTAATTAGAGGAAAAGAGAATGCTAGACTTACAGAAGGATAGGAGAAGGGAGTGTTCACTTTGAGTTTTGCATATTCCTAGGTACAAACCATCATGCCACTGTCAGCTTTCAGAGCATCTGAGAGTATGAATCCAACCAAAGTCTTCAGTGGCCAAGAACTTCTTGCCTTTTGGCTCTTCTCTTTCTCCTACAGAGTGTAGGGTCCTCCTCCTAAGCTACAGGCTGTCTGGCCACCCATTTCTGCACTGCTGCAGGAAATTATAACATCAGTCAAACCAAATGTCCTGCAAATGTAGAAAGGGCTTTTCTGTTTCCTCTTTCTTGTTGGTTTGGTGTTGTTTGGATTTGTAGCTTATCCAGCAAAAGGAAGGGAGTCCTTCAGAATAATCTAAAAACTCTGCCAGTTTCACAAACAAAACTGTGCAACTAGTTTTTATAGTAGCAAACTGTGCTCACCAGGGCCTTGGGGGCATTAAGGAAAGCCCGCTTTCCAACCCAGTCAAGTCATCTGCCCTCCCTCGTAGCCTACAGCAGGCTTCCAGGAGCTCAGTGCTGGATGAAAGAATTACTGTGAGCTTAGACTAGGGAGAAGAGTCATAGTTAGTGTTGACTGTCACTGTCAAAGAGCCAGACAGCTATGCTTCTTTGCCACTCAGAATGCCCTTGTGGACTATATGCTTTCCAGTGGATATATAAACACAGATGAGCACATACTGTGCCTGGTGTGTAGCATCTGTGCAAGATGTAAATTGCCTTTGTGGGATCACTGTCTTAAATCATGGCCTCCAACTATGTCCCTCTTCAAAAGGCTGACCATAAGGAGGAAAGACGGCCCAGGATTGGCAGGAGACCTTTGGGATATATGCCTGCAAGTAATTTAGACCCTCTTCTGGACTTTCCCCATGCATCCCTAAGAACAGGAAAGTCCGAGAGCCAGTTCAGTTCCAAGAACAAAGGTGCCAGCCAGCCCACCTTACCCGTGGGTTGGGAATCAGGGTACATAAACTAGGCAGAGTAAGTCACCAGCGTTGGATGCCATGGATTACAATCCTCTACAGAGAACAGCACAGTTCTCTGGGTTCTGTTACAGTGGTTTGGCTGGACCTAGAGACTTCAGTAATGTCACTTTGGTTGTACTTTCTTTACCCCTGCCTCCCCATTAGGGGCATTCACCTGCAGAGCTTTAGCAGGACCCAAAACAAAGATCTGAGCTTATACATGAACATTGAGATCCCAGGCTGTCTCTCACATAAAGCCTGGCTTTGTTAACTAAGAAGATGCCCATCCCCTGGGAACCTGCTTCCCTCTGCACTATGCCCACATGGCATCATACTACTTCTCATTCATAATTCTGAAACCAATCAAGAGTTTAACTCTTCATTTTCCAGGGACAACAAAGAGTGACCAGCTAGAGTGGGACTTAAAGATGTACAGTGGCTCTCAGGTGACTCATGATGTTCTGCTATTAATTTTAAGACAAATAATTTTAAGAAAAATAATCTTAATTATTTTTCTGCCTTACTTTCAAAATTCCATCTCTTAGGTCTCAGCAGGATCATGAAATAAATACACCCCAGGCAACTTTAGGAGTCTGCTGGCTAGCAGAGCTGTGCCATGTCTCAGACTTCTCTCCTATAAAGGTGCTCATCTGAAGACATAGGGTGGGCCAGGCGGGGAGGTGTGAGGATAAGGACATGACCCCTCCAAAGCTAGCTCTTGACTGAAGTCAGGAAGATGGTAGGTGGCTGAAGGACAGCCCCATAATGAGTAGGTGGCTAAACAATGGGAATATTCCGGACTCTTCTACTCTGGGTCATGGTTAAGATACATATTGTCATTTATCCTGCTTCTTGCTTGTTCTTTGTGTGGTACCATCTGAAACACCTTGTCCCCTTTCTCTCCTCTGTTTAGGATGAAAGATACTAGCCGCAAGAATAACATGTTTGCACAGTTCCGGAAAAACGAGCGTGACAAGCAGAAATTGATTGACACTGTGGCCAAGCAGCTCCGAGGACTCATCAGCAGCCACCATTCCTGAATGTCGGCCTTGGGCCCACAAAGGACATTTGCCGTAGCCCATGGTCCAGGATCTCCCCTGGACTGGCCCTGCATTTGTGCATTCTTCCTCAAAGAGAGCATATGTATTTTTTTATTAACCCCTGTACAGTATTCACATAACCTTTCCCTATAGTAAGAGAGGCACAAGAATAATCGAGAACATGAGGGGCTTAGGGGAAGTTACTGCCATTCTTTCTGTGCTATCCTGGGAAGGATGCACTGTCAGTGCTAACATGATGAGCTGTGGGGTCCTATCCAAGGCCCCACAAATTCAGTGGGTACCTAGTACTGGGAGTTGAAATGAGGAAGTAAAAGGATCATAATATGTATCCTATTTGCTCTCAAGTACTCGCTTAAGTGCATAGGAGAGCCTGGCAGACATACCTATGTACTATACCAAAGCCAGCCTTAGTTTAGGATATCCATCTGCCTCATTGGCTGACTTATTGGCTCATAAGTGTGTGTCGTGTGGCAAAATGACAGTTTCACTTTGGACCCCATAGGTGGCAGTTTCATTAATATAGTCTAACCCAGCCTTGTGGCTGGAGAGAGGTAGTTAGCTGAGTAAACTCTTGGGCCCATGATGAAAAGCAAGTTGCCCTACTGGGTGAATTGATTTTCTGGATTTTGAAAGCCAGTTTGGGTCCCCAAGGACCCCAGCCCCCTCTCCATTTATCTCTGTCCCTTCTTTCATGACTTGGTTCATAACATAGATCAGCAGTTGCTTCTGAAGGTCCCAGAGTAAGAGGCTCACACTTGCCTCCTGCAGCAGCTTCTCTAAATGGTCAGAACCCCTAAAGCCTGAAAACAGCCTGGGTGCCTTCACCTTAGAGCCTGATGACTTCTTGAGATTGCTCATTCATGTTTAAACAACAACCTCTGGCTACTGTCTTTAAAGAAAATGTCCCAAGTTCTACACTGTGAGCACAGCCTTCACAGGACTAGATGCTCTGGGCATGGATCTATCACCATAAGGTAGACAGTGTCAGCTATGACTAATGACTTGTTGCCTGTGGCCCAGCTATCATCAACTAAGTCACATTATGGAAACAAAGCTTGTCTTGCTCAAGCCCAGGCCTCCCATCTTCTGAGCTGTCCCTTGACCTCACCAGAGAGTTCTTCCTAGAGTCCTATCTTTGACCTCTGGAGCCTGGGCCAGCTAGATAGACTCCTAGACAATGCAAGGGCTTTACTGTGATGTTGATCAGAGGGGTCTACGCACTCAGACAAATATGGAAGCTGTTAGACTGCTGGTAAGAGTATAGTTGCATCATGGAACACTAACCCAGATTCCCAAAGTGTTTCCAGCTTCAGTGATGAGCAGAGAGACTGGCCAAACAATCTTCCATTGCCTTTGTCACCTACCATGTGCTTCTGGGACAGCACTACTTCTGTATCTCCCAGGTCACCATAGTCCACCCCATCTTGAGCACACCCTACCCTTACCATAGCCATCTCGAACACCAACAGGAAGAGAACACCACATAGAGATACAGTTTTCTATAACTGGAGAGAACTAGCCACTCAGGTGCTCTGCAGATGCCTGCAAGTCTCATCCTTGAACTACACAATGGCCCAGAGATTCAGGACAAGAGTCTCATAAGAACACCCAAAACTTGATTAGCCAAGGGAAGGCAGGAGCCTGTGAGAAAGAAGACAAGATGGTGTCTCCAAGTCCTGGATTTGTTAAAAAGGCTGAGAAGTGATTCCGCTAACCTGAAGTCCTGCTGACTGAGGAGGAAAGAAAGGCACTTTGTCTGTGCTTGTCAGCCTTCAATGTAGAGATCATCAGTGCAGTAGAGAGACTGCTGGGCTGTCACATCATTTGTACTTTTAGACTCCATCTTGCTGCTTGTATAGTGAATGAAAACAGGTGGAGGAACAGGACCACTCTACCTTCCACAGCAGAGTCCTACTGAAGGGAATTTCATGCAATCTCAGGGTGCGTGAGGATGTCCACCTGGCTTTTCTCTTCTGGCCTGCACTGTTACTTAATAAAAAGCAGCATGTACTTCTGATCTGTGAAAGCCAGGGACCCACAATGTCAAGGTGATTATGAATTGATGAAGTAGAACATTTTTCTTTTTCATTTTATCCATAAGGCCTAAAGCTGAACTGGCCTTGAGGACTTGAGCACAGTATGCATGCCTGTAGGCCTCAAACTCTGTGACCTTACCTCAGCAGGCACACATATTCTGAAGAGTCTCAGGTGGGATGAGATACTGCTGCCTGAGGTCTGGCCTTCCAACCAGATCCGTGTCTATGTAGACAGTCTGATTTGTGACCTGTGGTTAGGCAGAGGCTCACTTATTTTTTACCATTCATGGAAAAAAAAAAAAAAAAACTCTCAGTACCAGGTGACTCTGGTGTGGGTAGAGAAGAACAGGGCCTGTACATGGGAACCCACAGAGTCCCTGTCAGCAAAATGAGTATCTCCCAGTGACTCTATCATGCACCAGGCTCAACAGTCCATCTGGCTCCACAGCACCCAGCTCAGCAGGTCCCAGGCCCAGGGGTGGCACTGGCCAGGAGTTTCCTACTTGCACCTCTGAGTGCAGGCTCAGTTGGTTTCACCAGGCCTCTCCAGACTGCTTTTGCCACGCCCTCCTCCCTCCACCCCTCCCTTCTTTCTTTTATTCATCTGCATTTGAGTCACTCTTCACTGATGTGTTGGAAATAGCTTTTTCATCTTACACCGTTCCACATTTGTGGGAGAAATGCAGTGAGATCCATCTGTACCTCTAAAAAGAACCTTTTCCTCTCATGCCCATTAGGAAAGCATAAGGGGGGCTCCTCTGGAAAGAGCATGTGTATCCCATTCCCCTGTACACGGTCCTCTTTTAACTGCTATTAAATATGAGAACCTACATACCTGTTCCAATACCCAATGTTTCTTTTGAAGTTTTTGTTTTTATTCCTTTTGCATAGTGTGTCTGGTTTGTGACCAATACTGGGTGGCAGGCAGTGTCCCCACTGAGCTGACTGAGGAACAGAGCAACAACCTGGTATAGAGAGGCCATATTGTGACCTCAGGTGTTATTAAGATGTATAATGGACACTGGCACAGCCAACAATAAGGTTGAAATGCCTAGTTTATGTGGGGTACTGGGGTGAGCTGTTTGCCCACTCTGTGGGGACAGGCTCCAGCCAAGCAGGAGTGATGCAGAATTATCCAGAGCAAGCTAGCTTGACAGAGGGAGAGTTGAGCAGCAGCAGAGTGAAGAAGGGTCTGAAATGAAGACAGGAGAGAGAGCAGGTGCTCATTAGCATGGCCTTATGATTTAACTGTAGGACACCACAGGATTGCTTGGGATGCAGATTACATGAAAACTTGAAGTTGCCCCTAGCCTGTTGTATGCTGAGAGACAGTGAATGGACTTTGGGCACTCTGCAACTCTGGTGAGTAGAAATGTCCATACAACAGGACCAGCCTGCTTACCCTCAGAAGAGGCTGAAAGGAACATCAAACCATCAGTCTGACCTGGGTTTCTGTTCCTGCGATGCGGCCTGCTAGCAGAATCATCTTGAACAATTCATTTGCTAGCTCACCAGTGACATGAGAGTTGTTCCTAATTTATAAGGGCATTGTAAATTGTTAGGCCTGTTTACAGTGCCTGGCCTGACATTGTCATGCACTACTGAAGGCCTTGTCATTTCTTCCCTTCAGTTTACAGCATGCCTCTCAGCTGAGCATCTCACAGCGTTTCCAAAGCTGCCTTGTCTCCTGGCTTCCTCTCCAAGCCCAGCACAAGGCTGGTGGGAAATATGCACCTCACAGCCCTGTGCAGGAACGAGGACCACCAGCTGCCCGGCTTGTATAAAGACAGCCTTCCAAAAGAAGCCTGCCCTCAGTCCCACCTGGAGCCTCCTCTGCTCTCATTTCGGTGCCAAAACATACATACATACATACATACATACATACATACATACATACATACTCCTGATAGCATGTAGTTTGGACCCAGAAGTCCATTCCTTGAACTGTGGATGTGGGTGTGGTATACACATGGGCTTTCATCCACCCATCCTGCTTTCTTTTGGAAACCTCGTTTGTGGCTTTCATCAATGTCTAAGAAAGAGGCATAACTAAATACTATGAATGATAACAAAATCCCTTTAGAGATAGATCTCCCTGTGTGTGAACAGTGGAGGCTCTGAGCCATCACCTTCTCTCCTTGCCTCCCCAAGTGCTGGCATATTTTGAAGAGTGGTGCTCACCCTTTTCAGGAACCCCAAAAGATCAGAACAGCCCTGTTTTTCCAGTCATTCCAGGGTGTGTACTGAGGGTTCAGAGGACTGCACTTTGGGGCACAAGGAGATGACAAAGGGTATGGTGTGGTCGTCGGCTGTCCCAGGCTGCTCACCCCAGAGCACCTTCTACCACAGAGCACTAGCTGGAAATATCCAGCCCAGGAAGGAACAGCAGCTCCTGTGGGACCAATTCAAACCCAGGGATTTTTTTTTTTCACAGCTGGGCATCTTTTTTTGCATAGTAAGCAGGGAAGAACCAGAAGAGCCTCTGAGAGATGAAGCAAGGAGAGAAAGGGCCAGGCCTTCCCCTGGAGGCCTCATTCTGAGGTTAATGGGCAGCATTTGTGGGGAATGAGAGAGCCTCTAAGCCCAAGGGACCAGAAGACAAAGGCTCTTGAGGAAGTGTAAGGAGGAGGAGGAGAGGGGCCAGGACCAGCATTGTGTGGGAGAGCTCCCCCTCTATCTGTTTCAATCACTGCAGGGTTAGGGTTACCTTGCATTTGGGGCCCCACTGCATTGTGGGGTTTGACAGCCCTTGTGATGGTAATGGGGGCCTCTCCCAGGGTACCCCTTCTTCTGCCAGCCCATACCAGCTTCCAGAATGGAATGAAGCCCATTCCCTTGGGATGGGGCAGGTTGCAAGTGCAGAACTGGACCCAAGATAGCAGGCCCCTCCCAGTCTGCTAAGTGTACCTTCCTAGCCCAAGTCATGACCTTTCTCCTTCCTGAGCTCCAGAAAGGGAACGGAATCTGAACATCGAGACGCTTTCCTGGCCCTGAACAATCCTCCCTTTCTCTAGTCTCAATGATGGGTCTATTCCCTCCTGTAAATGGGTCTCGCCATCTCCAGCGTTCACCTTTGCTTGGAAGGGTAATTAACTGCATCTCCCTCTTGTTCTCCCTCACATTCCCCTCTCTGTTACCAGGCTTAGATAAAACTAGGTGGATGACTTTCTCTTCCTTTCTAAAGCTAGTGGAGGAGGGCACTGCTTCCCCAATGAGCCCCTTCCCTAGAGAGCCTGCTGGGGAAACTACTTCCTCAGGCACTGGAAGGGTGCCCATGACAGAACCTCTAAGGCTTTTCAGGTTGCCCACTCTGAACTACCAGTACACAGGTGTTTTCCAAGGTTTTAGGGTTTTCGGGAGTGAGACTAAGGAGCAAAGTGGAAGGTTACATGAGTTCTGGTACTGAGGGCAGATGTGCAGATACACGAAAGACACCACATAATCAGTGTTTCTTAGAAACAGGAAAACCTCGGGTGCAGGGCAGCAACCAGGTGAGAAGATTAGGGCAGGCCCATTCAGGAACAGCGGGGCACCAGGTTAGTGGAGAGGCAGGTCATATAGGTAGGTGGTCCACCTCAGCAGGAAGCTGAGTCTGACTAGTTATTCTAGTTACCGTGGATTTATGTGGTGGGTTTTTATTGTTTGCTTGCTTGGTTTTTGTTTTTGTTTTGAAACAGGGTCTTGCCATATAGTCCTGGCTGGCTTGGAATTGTCATGTAGACTAGGCTGGCTTCAAATTCACAGTGATCCTTAGTGCTGAGATTAAAGGTGTGCAACCATGCCCAGCCTTGCGTGCTGTTTCTGTGAGATAATGAATTCTGCAAAGGCAGGAACACCACTCCTACCCAAAGCCCATGCATACCCAACACAGTAAATGGTACATGAACATACATGACCCGGGACTCACAATATTGGAGCTGGCTAAGAACTGGAGGAGAAGGCTCTGAGGACAATGAATCCTAAGGAGAACCTGCCACTGAACCCTAATCTTATTTCCTACGTATAATGACTATTAACAGTATGATGAGATTTTTTTTTCAAATGAGTGGAACATGTATTACTGACCCCCCTCCAAAAGAGATGACAAAAGTACATTGTATTGCAGTTTTATTTTCTCACCAAGGCAGCTAAAGTCTCTTCACACTTATGAAACACACAGCACCCTTATGTCATGGATAAACCACATCTTTATTCACCATTTGTGAATGGACCAAAATTCAGAATATCCCCAGCATGTGACTACTATAAAGTATTACAAGAAGATATTTGTATGTATCTTAGGTATTTTTATAGCATAAAATTTAAGTAGGATGTATTGAATAGAATTTTCAAAAATCATACTTTATATTCTCTGCAGGATCTGACTCTATGTCTCTGCCCTCAGCACAAAATAATATCAGCATTTTTCATTCTTGCCAACCTTTTAAGTAAAAGAAAATAATGGATGATCTTTCTTTGTTCTCATTTAGTTTACATCCTTTGATTTACAGTGAGCTTGACATGTCAGTTGCTGGCCATAGTGCTTGGCCTGGCTTTTATTGGGCTCTTCTTTTCTAAGCTGGTCTGTCACTCTTCATTGGAGACTTCAACTACTTGTTTGCTTCACATGCTTCCCCAGGTCTCTCTCTGAATTTGTCCATGGTGCATAGCAGTTAGGACTTTATTTTGTAAATAACAAAAACCAACCCAGAAAGGGAGAATTAGAGGCTGAAAGTCTAAATCTGGCTATGACTAAACCACATCAGTCTGTTTTCTCCTATCTCCCTACCTTATAACAAGACCTTCCAAAATCTCTCACTTCTTTTGCAATAGCTAACCCGCAGGCACTTGATTAGCTTTCAGGTTCCAGGCTGCTCTGCAAAACCTGACTTCATTGGCCTTCTTAGGAAAGAGGGTCACCAAGTCCCATAGCCCCCAGCATTCAGAGCTCTCAATCGGAAACCGTGCCATTGGGTTTGATTGGGAGTGTTCCATGGATTGACTTCTCTGACCAGCCTAGCAACCAGTATCTACAGGGAGAATAAGATTTCTGCCAGGCTGAAGCAATCAGGCCTCACTGCAGATCCTGAAGTCACAGTCAAGACTCACTCTGAACAAGTAATCCCTCACAGGATGTCGGCAGAGGGAGCCCTGAGGATCAGCCACCTCCCTCTGCTTGTGAGGGTTGAGTGGGGTTTTCCTGTTGAAACTTCAGCTTTACAATGATTGGATTTCATGACTAATTTCTCCCTCATAAAATGCTAAGCCACATTTTCTTCTGATGCTTCACTTTTTAATATATACTCCTTTAACAGTTTTAATTTTACTGTGTGATGAAGAATGTGGCAGGAACTGGCCCTTGGATCTTTCTTCCATGTGGCTGCTCAGTGGTCTTATAGCATCACCATCTTGTGGTGTATATAATTCCCGTTTGACTCTGGATCTGTCTCTGGGTTTTCCACACAGTTCCCACTCACTCTGTTTATATGTGTGTTGTTTAATCACCATATGTTTGTACCTGCTTCCAAATCAGGTCATTGATTCCTGTACCATGCTTTTTCAAAATGTTCCAGGATAAATTCATATTTTTCCAAGTTTCAAAATTCTATTGTGATTTTTGACTAAATATTAGATTGAATGAATGTATGAAACAATGTAAAGATGAATGGGAGTTCACATTTCTAGATAGCTTAATGTTTTCTGCACTTGGATTCTTTTATTAATTATATTCCTTAATGTCTAATTTTTCATTAATGTTATAAATGAAATTTCCCCTTGCATGCTTTGTTCTTTCCCTCCCACCATCCCTCCCGTGTGTGTGTGTGTGTGTGTGTGTGTGTGTGAGAGAGAGAGAGAGAGAGAGAGAGAGAGA